GGAAAGAAAGGAAAAGCTTATAGGAATACAGGAACTAGGGTCTAGGCTCGACCACCCTGCAGAAGGCAGAGCTCCCCCTCCTGCAGCTCTCAAGCTGCACAGCACTTCTCCTCAGCCAAATCCAGCTGAATTGTTTGACTTCGCCCAGATGTTGCAAACTGTGTGCAGTTGGCCAGTATCTCCAGATCACCTCTTTTAACCCCACCCCCGACTGAAAGAAGTACATTTGTCATACACAGGAAGCAGCTGTGTTGTCTTTTCAGTGAGGACAATAAAAGCCCCATCGCATGTCGATAAGTCTCTCAAACACACTTGGTGTGCAGGGTGTATACCTGCTGCAGCTTCAGCGACATTTTGTGAAATAGTAAATGAGGACATGTTGTGAATCTGTGACTGCATGAGGCTAGCATCACACAGTTGAAACTGGTATTCCATTTTAAGGAATGAAGAATTTAGTTTACAAGTTACTTTTGTCCATAGGTGTAACCTTGGCAGCAGTTCAGAGTGCATCTCCCTTTTTTATGGGAAGGCATGAAAAGATGGTCTGCAAAACAGGTGGGCTTTCTCTCTAGGCACAGATTCAAGACTCATTTCTCAGCCTCACATAGCAGGTTAGATGCTTTCCCTTCTGCCTTGAGCCATTTTGAGCTCATTCACCTTGCAGCAAGGTCTGCTGAGAGGACTGGGTGTGCTTTGCGGCTTGGTCTGAGGCTAATGACTGTGTGATGTGTGCTGGAGCACTGCAGGAGCAGAAGAATCAGATGAAATGTTCCTCCCTCAGCAGAGAGGACTACATCCTTGTTCCTTTGCAAGAAAAGCAGTAAGAAGAAAAAGCAGTAACTGAATGGCACATAACTTGTTACCCAAGCAATGGTAAACATTTCTCAGCCACACCTGCTGCAGAAAGGCAGGCCCAGGGAGGTTCTTATTCCTGATCATTTCTTCTACATCCCTGAGCTTGACCAGCAGTGTCATGAAGGCACTGGCCTTGCAGGTGCTGCGATCTGCAGTACTGAGTCTTGCCCTCAATCACCATCCATTGCTAGATGGACTGCACCCTGCCTGTGCCTGCCCTAACCACGCTTTTCTTGGGCTGAGCAGAAAACCTAGCTGCCTGGTTGTCATCTCCTACTCTCTGCTGCCTGAAGTCCCCAAGTCCTCAGCAAGCTGACAGACACAAAGGACAGAGCTCCACAGTACTACAGGTTTGCACCCAGGGTTCACCGTAGTCAGTTCCTCTCTGCAGCGTGGGAAGAAAAAGTGGTACTGCATTCTTAAAAAGCACCCTCTAAGCTCACTCTGTCCCCGCTCCACTGAAGGCTGAATGTGTGGGGGCATGCCCACCCCTTTGGTCTTCAGGAAAATCAGCCCCAGTGTCAGCGAAGCTGAAGACAGGAGTTCATTGTAACTGTCCCAGCTGCAGCGCCGTGCACAGAGCACAGCACGGCCCTTCTCTGCCAAAGAAAAGCAGGGGATTGGTATGCTGAGCCTGTATGCTGCTCTGAACGTCAGCCCAGGACAGGGACCGACACGGATTGCACGTGACAGTAACAAAGGTGCACCCTTGCCTTACCAGTAGCTGGTTGGATGAGTAGGAACGCATGAGAATCAGGTTTGGGTTTGCTCATTAGGTATTATCAGACCCTTCAGTCTTCCCCAGCATGAGTGCACTTACCCTCTTACTCTTTCACTGATTCTCCAGGGCCCACACCACACATCTGGAAATCCTTCAACAAGTTCTCTCACTAGGATGTGAATCACTAACTCATTTCACTCCAGGCTGAGCATTAAACATTTCCCTGCCTGGCTTTCAGTTTGCTGTTGGCAAGGATCACATCCCACTAGATCTCAAGGTATTGCCAACAGTCTCACACAGTTTTCCACATTGTTAGAGAAAATGATTCTCTGTCCAAATAGATGTCTGACAGGTCCCTCTTGGCCAAGGTGCTTGACGTATGACGATGGGGCAAGGTGGTGAAGATTCATCTACATTAATTGCAACCATTTACCAGAGGGACTGCTCCAAGGTGTGAGAGTCTAAGAACATTTGGTACCGCTGATGGAAAAGTAGAAATGTCAAAATAATGATTATACAGGATCATGTAAGGTACTTGGAAAAGTGGGCAGGACAGGGCACACCTATGTAAGAAAAACTGAACAAACAGAAAGGGCAGTAAAACTGGTGGGCAAGGAACAGCCATGATTGAAAAAAAGATGTGGCTGAATGGTGAATTCTTTAAATTCAGTTGAGAAGGAGGAGATGGGGCTCTAGACAAGCCGTGGCAGCAAGGTGAGGGAGGGAGCCAGCACGCAAGGCAGGGAGTGCACAGGTCACCTAATTTCACGACTGTGATGCTCAGGCTCATGAAACTGAGCAGGGAGGAAAATCTTCCCTTCTGTGTTCCAAAGCCATGGAGTTTGACAAAAATCCTGTGAAGGATAGTCCCATAAAGTGTGCTGAGTTGTGCTGAGCACTAGAGGACATCTACAGAGCTCTGTCCATGACCAATGAAGTAGAAAACATGCTAATGTTAATAAGACCTCCATGATTAAAAATACCTTCCTCACTTTTGAGGCTGAAGTACTGCAAATGCCTAATTCTCCACACTAGCACAGAAATTGCCCCTTTCCCAGGGAGTGCATATGCATTACAGAGGTGGGGCCAGATAAGAGATTGAAAGCATTGGAAGTTAGGGACTTGGTACACCATTTTTCTAGACCAAAGCAGCAGATTCAGAGGGGTTGTCTGACTCCTCACTCCAAAGCTCAAAGCCTTGGAAAAGCCAACTTGCATAATCTAACATTTGTGGATCTCACTTAAATTTTAGCCTTTTCCTTGCACGACCTTAAAACTGGCTTGGGTCACTTTTATATGGCTTAATAATACGTAAACAACCGCTCTGTTCTTTCTGTAGTACAATCCAATCTGTGGCAGTTATAAAAAAGACACACATGTGCATCTGAGGTCTGTCAAAACTTGGCCTGCGTGCGAGCGGAGGGGCTGCGGGCTGGGCGTTGGGAGGAAACAGTGATGCAGGACCTTAACCATTCCCGCCCGAAGACTTATTTCAGGGTAGCTAATTTAATTGTTTGTTGTTGAGGAAGACAGCTCTCCTTTATTGTTGGAGGGAAACGTTGTGAAGCATGCACAAAGGAAATAATGAAATAATGTAGAGCAGCTGGTGAAAAGCATTTCTCTGGCCCCGTGATGTTTCTTCCCCTCTTGCTTGTTTTCCTGCTCTCCTTACTTTCCTTCTCTCGGCTAAGACTTAAAAATACTTTATAGATCATTGTCATAACATTTACAAACTTTAGTACTTCACACAAGTGCTTTTCTTCATCTGGAAAGTGAGATGAGAAATACGGGAGGTGGCCAAAGTCATTCTGCAAAACAGGGGTAGAACTGGATGTGAAATGTGGAATTAGGACAGAAGCCCCCCCAGATTAACTCCATCTGGGCTGTAGGGCTCTGATGGGGACACTTCTCAAATATTACTGTACTCCACTGCCACTTGTCTACTGTAACAGGGCAAGAGGAGGGAGTTGTGCTTTTAATACTTGTGATTGCTGAAGTCCTCCTGAAGTTGGGCTGGTTTTCATTCCCAGGCCGTACTCACTTTGTGAGAAGCAACAGGGAATTGTACCTTTACTAGAAAACAGGCACTTTTAAATTCCTCGTGCATCAGTTACTGATGCTCAGTTGTGGTATTTCTTATGACAGGATCCTGTTTATCCTCTAATCTTGATTCTGAGTCAAGTTCACACATAAATTACTCCTTGTCCTCAGCTTTTGGATCTTTTAGTTAGGGGCAGAAGACTGAGCTGCTCTGTTTCAAGGCAGAAGATGGCTCTCCTTGGACCAGCTGCAGTTTAGTGGGTTACAGTGGTTTAACTGGGTCAAAACACACAGACTGGGGCTTGTGTTATCACAGAGGAGTAATCTACTCAAACACACTAAGCATCTTTGGATGACACAAGTACTTATTTCATTTTCTCTCTGTGACTCTTTCTAGCTCGTCTTTATTACTACGCAGCCAAGGACTCAAATGAACTGACTCCCTTTGGGCTGCTCTTTGCTCAGGACCTGGGCTGCACCAAGCCCCCGCACAGCTCCACACTCAAGAATGAGAGAGAAAACTCATGTCCAAGTAAAGACCAAGAAATCACTTGCTCTTTACTGTTGTGGGCGAAACAGATTTGGCTAGGGGAATTTAACTTCAAACATTTTATTACCAATTTGGGTTCTGGGAACCAAAGATGACAAACGCATAAACACCTTGGGAAAGCCCCTTCCCTCCCCTTTTCCCATATTCAGCTCACTCCAGCACTTCTCCTCCTGCCTGCCTTGTCTCCACTGCCTAGTTGTCCCAGCAGGTTGCACCGCATCCCCTCGGTGAGGCAAAAGGCAGTGCAGGGAGTTGCAGTCAGGACTGAGTAGCTGCTCTTTGCTACTCCTTGCTTACTTCCCATGTGTGTCCTCTGCTCTGGCAGAAAGAGCAACGCTAATGCTAGTATGCTGAGTCTATTTCACTTAAATTTAGCATACACTCGGACAGCAAATACATATTTATGGTTATTACTGATAGAGCCTGCGTAACTGATAACCTTGCAGGCTGTATGCAGAGAATGCAGGTAAGCCTGTTTGCCTTCCCAGTGTTTTCTTCTCATCTTCCCCTGCTTGGCTGTTTCTTTTCTAGTGCATTACAATTTAGCTGATCGATTTCAGCTGAACCTTTTCACAGAATCACAGAATGTTAGGGGTTGGAAGGGACCTCCGGAGATCATTGAGCAGTGAGTACAGCACTGAGCAGCAGAGACCCCTTCCCCCCAAAATCAACACTAGGCAACAGTACTAGAGGCCAAATCCTAGGATTGCTTTGTTATGACCTTGATAAGTACCATCAAAGATAGAGGGTTTAAGTGATTTTGCACATTGAAGAAGTCCACAGATGGTAAAATAATAATGCCTCACTGCTGAGGAAAGAAGCAAACGTCACCTGCTTCTTACATTAGCAGTCAGTGAATTCTTGTGCAAATATTATATACCTACCATCCTGGCAGCAGGTGAATATTTGTAGATCCTGGGGGACTAATCTAGTATTACTATAAAGTCCTGCTGTGAAACAAAGCAAAAGCATTATTTGACAGAATTTTAAAAAAGCTAGACATATAGGTCTGTAAGATACAGTTGTTTATTCATCTACAGAAGAAGTGTCAGCTGTTTCTTAGAAACCCAAAGCATTTCTGAATAGAGCTTGTAACACTTGCTTGCTGTAGATCAGTCTATGATTTCAGATTTAAAGCAGCAAAAGGGTTTTCAGGCTCTTAAATCTTTCCTGGGTATACAACTAAAGATTAATGGGTTAAATACTAAGGACAGCAATTTCTGTTGCTCTGTAATTAATGAAGTTAATTTGGATTTTTTCCTTGCTTGATTAAGAAAAAAAAAAAAAAGGTAGGTATTGAAATTCATGTACTCAGAGCAATAGGCAGGTTGTAAGAGTCTAACACCACCTTACTATTCTTGCTTCCCCTCTTCCTTGTTTCAGCTAAGCTTCACTTCAGCATAACCAGAGAGGTGGTTGAGGCCTCATCCCTGGGGGTCTTTAAGGCCAGGCTGGATGAGGCTCTGGGCAGCCTGATCTAGTGGGAGGTGTCCCTGCTCATGGCAGAGGGGTTGGAACTGGGTGATCCTTGTGGTCCCTTCCAAACCTGACAGATTCTGATCTGTTTTAGCAGAGGACTTTAGAGCCCTAATGGCTCAATGGTTGGACTTGATGATCTTGAAGGTCCCTTCCAACCTAAAGGATTCTATGATTCTATGATTCTAACTTACAGTATCATAAAACACATTCCAAGTAGGGACAGGGAAGCAGATTTCAGCTCTCTTACCATACTATTTTGTGTTAATTGTTATAGTGAGGACAAACCATCTTCTTGACAGCAGCCTCAAGTCCTCCAGAGCACTGGCTGACGTGGACAGGCTCCTCCCATCTTCCGTGCTGTGACGTACCATGTTACTTGACAAGAAAAGCTCAGGATCCCTTCTTCCACTGATACTCTTCTTTGTGTCATCTCTGTGATTTTTGTAATTCTGGCTCATTTCATTGGCCTTGAAATTATTTAGCTTTGACATGCGCCACAGTAAAAAATGCCTGGCCAGTTTTGACACAGCTAATCACATACAGGCTTTTATCTGGAAGATAAAACAAGTCACTGGACTGTACAATGTAGGTAAAATACTATTTCTGGAATGATGGTTTCCAAGTATTAAATCTAGTCTTAGTTAAGTGTTTTTCTCCATCGCTTTCACTTGCAAGTAGATAATTTGCATAGGTTCTTACCCTGATAAACAACTTAATATTTTAACCCCTGGATTACCTAGTAATTTCACTTTCAGGATAACTGGTTGTAGAAAGCAGAACTACAAAACCGGAGGGAAGTCCAGGTGTCTTATACAGTGGAACTTCGGTGCTAGTCTGCATCTTCAAAACACTTGGGTGTACAAGAAGGCAGATTCATCATTAATGATTCATCAGAATCTAAAGTTAAGCATAAGACATTTAATTAGACTGATTTGTTTCAGGTATTTGTACAGCTGCAAAGAAATCATATTACGAAGAAATACATCTGGAAGTCTTGGCTTCAGCATCGTAGGAGGTTATGAAGAACATACTGGGAACAAACCATTCTTTATCAAATCCATCGTTGGGGGAACACCAGCATATAATGATGGCAGAATTAGGTAATGATAACTAGCAAATGAAAAGTAGCATTTAAGTAAGTCTAATCTAGTTAATTTGTGTCTTATTGGTGTTTTGTTTTGTTTTTGTTTTTTTTTTTTAAAAACAAGTTTTCATAAAGGCAGTGTAGGGGCAGAAAAAAAAAATACTCATTGGTGCAGAATTAACTCTGACAGATCTGGAAATAGGGTGTAAGAGTCCTGAACTTCAATAGATTGCCTTCCTAGCAGAATGTTTTCAGAAGCCTAGCCACCACTAGTGTATGAGTAAGTATAAAGTTAAGTCAGTTTGATCTGAGGGGTAGTACAAAGCATGCTAGCACAGAGCAGCTTTCCCACGTCCCCAGCTCAAAAAAAAACCCCAACCAACCAGTTTTCTGCAAACAACAACAAAATTTAAGAGTTGGAAATGCAGAATTATGGAGCAAACTTAAATCAAGTAATCAGTCTGAAGTTTGTTCAGAGCGTGAATCATTCCCATCTGAAATAACCGTATCCTATCTTCTTTCAAATACGTCTAATAAATGCTACAGTTTTAAGGAAAAAAAACAACCAAGTGAAGTATTTTCACTTACTTTATTCCCTTATCCATGAACAGTAGCTAGCCAGAGGAAGAATAGTAACACCCATTTCTACCCCTTCTTCCCAGCTTAAGGACATACTTTGGCATTTGGAAGCATTTAGGATAAGAAGTCACCATGTTTATTTGTTCCCTCATACTTGCCTTTGGGTTTTCAGATGTGGTGACATCCTCCTTGCTGTCAACGGCAGGAACACATCGGGAATGATGCATGCCTGCTTGGCAAGGATGCTCAAAGAACTGAAAGGAAAAATTACTCTCACAATTGTGTCCTGGCCTGGCACTTTTTTATAAAACAAGTCTTCATGGAAAGTATGACTAGTAATTTGACACAGAAGAAACCCGGGAACCTCGGTCTGTGCTTTTTTGGGGGGTCAGGTATGTGTTTATAAAGAAAAGGTTTGTGAAATTTCAGCCTACATGTGAAGAGAAGTCAAGCTTAGCCAAAGCAGGGACACTTGTCAGAAAATCACTTCAGAGTGGTTTAAGCTACAGACTTAAGTCTTTCCTTCCTTGTGTTCTTAAGATTTTTTTGTTGTTTCATCTGTTTTTTTTTTTTATATATGTATATATTTAATGCATTATAATAATTACATTTAAGAAGCAGCAGCTCCTGCTCACCCACTTTATTTTGATTTACAAAAGGAAATCCTTAAATAACCTATGAAAAAATTCCTTGCAATTTTTCTAGTTGCAAAAATCAGGTGAAGGTTTTTATCCAACACCTTAACAGCACTTTGTTTATGTGTACCTTTTCATGGTCAGCATAAAGCTGGTATTTTCAAGACTTTCAAGTACTGTTTGTTAGTCTGTAAAACTGTGAATTATATTTCTAAAATAATTAAAAAATAACTGTAACTGTGTACTTGTACAAACATTATTTTCATCCAAAACCAAACAACCTAGTTTCCCTGGTTTCAATTAATACCGCTAAATCTAGGATTTTTATATAGAATTTTTGTTTTTAAGGAACTACACTGCACACTCTGCTAAATACCATCAAGTCTTCTGAACAGCACCCTGACAGAGCAGCACAATTTTTGCAGGACCACCCTGCCAATCACACTTGAGTCTTTTCTGGATGGAGTAATTCTGAAAGTGATGATGGCCATATTTCTTAAACTAGGTCTTTGACTTTCTTTGCAGATTACTCATGTTCCAAAGTCTTATTTTTTCCTCACAAGCTAGCAATGGGAAGAGGATATGTTTGTTAATCTCTGTCATGTTAAGGACAGCTGTTCCCCTAGAACAAAGGCTAAAATGAACTTTCTCTTAAGCCACTGAAAAGCAGCAGGGATGATTATCCAGCTTAATTCATCCTTATGCACCCACACGAACCAGACATAATTACCAAGGGTATGATGACCACACTGTGTTCCATCAGACTAAGAACAATCAGCACCTTTCCCAGTTGCTCTAATTTATTTTTTTGTTTCACCTTGGTCCTTGAACAATCTGCAGCTCCTGCATGTCCTTGTAGTAAAGGATGACCTTTTCAAATATGAACTCCAAAAGCTACACTAAACCTACACTGTTCCAGATGTTCATGTATAATGAAGTGAATGCACGCTGTTTTTAAAGTCAGTAAAACAATGACCTTCCCATTGGCTTTAGAAAGAAGGAGATAATTTAATGCAAATAACTTAAGCCCTCCATATATTGTAAGAGCATAAGCCTCTAGCTGTAAGATATTTTTTTTCATTGTTTCTTAAAAGAAAGTCAGTCCAGGAATCTTAACATGAAAAATTTGTTCTTTTATTTTCAAAAAAAAACCAAAGTAACCCTTGATTTCAAACTAACAGAACAAGATTAAGAGCAAATTATTTTAATACCCAGAAAAATAACAAGATTTATAGTAATCTATCTCTGGCACTAATATATATGCAAGTAGGCAAAAATCACACAAGCCTATTCCACAGGGGCAGCTTCAGTGTTTTCCTGTTCAGGAGCAGGTTCACCGCTGGCTTCTTTTCCTTCTTTGCTTCTTTTGGATTTTTTGTGTTTGTGCCTTCTGTGGCTGTCCCCTTCTTCACTGTCGTGACGCCGCCTGCTGTTACTAAATAAAGAGAGAAAAAATACCTCAAACGACTGCATGACACTTCAGGCCCTGTTTAATTACACAGTACCAAAAAAACTGCCTTTGTATTTGAAAACTGGCACCCACGCCTGTTCCAACCCATACAGTATATGGATTTCAGCACCAAAATGAACTTTTCATGGAATGGTACATACATTCACCCATCCTGTACTTTTTGTTGGGAAATTGTAATGATTTTTCACATTTGTAACCCATATTCTAATAGCAATACCTTTAATAGCAGCATGTGATGTCCCTACCGGCATCCCTTAATGGTTTAACATTCTTATTGACCCCATTCCCTGGATTTAACCTTTATTTCTAAGTTAAAAAGGATCAAGTTGAGCCACTTCCACCAAGTGATTATGAGGTTTATTTTACTTGCTAAGAATAACTGTTGAGTTCTTATGTTAATGTTGCTGAATGGCAGCTTCACTCCACCTCTTTCAGACCCACCATTTTTACTCTTTCCTGAAATTCATAATTTCTGTTCATTAGCTAAGACTGTCACATAGATCATTCAATATGAAGTTAACTGGGGCAAACATGGTTTTTTGTCTGTCCACGTTTTATCAGGTCAGACTTGTTCCAAGTAGCACATCCAAGTGTTTACAGTCTCTCCACAAAACTCTGGTTTGTTTGGGGTTCTTTCAAAAGTTTACTTAATTTTTTTAAACTTTCGTATCCTATTAAAAAAAAAAAATCAAACCTTCGAGATGACTTGTGTCTAGTCTCTTCTTTCTCTCTGTGTCTCCTGTCTCTGTGTCTGTCTTCTTTCTCTCTACTTGTTCTATGGCGGTCATAGCCTCTTTCTGCATAGTCTCTGTATCTGTAGCGTTCTTCATCACTGATTAAGAAAAGATATTTTCAGGACAGTAACACCAAGTAGTATATATATTAAGAAACTAAATCCTTACACCTTCTCAAGATAACTGACAGAAAAAGCTTAATATTGCTCCTGGGTTTCTAAATGAGATCCGTATAACTTATGCTAAAAGGACGTTAAAACTCTTCACCTTGCACGCTAGACTTCTGTGATTAATGCAATTTTGAAAGGGGATTGCTCAATAAAAATGGAAGGAAAAAAATACTACAACAGTGTCACATTGAGTTTATACAGTAGTTATCAAACAATTAGTTTAAACTTGTATCTATCTGCAAATGAGGTAGAATCCTATTTTCAGATCAGTTTGTGTAACGCTCAACACTTATCAGCTCACTTTTTGACTATGATATAATTTGGGTAAATTAAATTTTGGTACAGTTCTATTTCCTTACACCAGCTTCAAGAAAGGAAAAGCTAAAGTGCAAAGAGACTGACAGTAAAATATACTCAATGTGTGGGGTTGCTTTTCAATGTAATTTCTTCCATCCAGTGGCAGTGCTGTCTCTGCTTCCACCCCTCTCTTGGACAACCCCTAGTGCTGTCTTGCCACAATGCTGGTGAAAACCTCTAAATATTACAGGCTATAAAATAATTTAGAGGCTTTACCCAAGAATGTTTTTTCATATTCTGACTTGATGAAGGGCATATCTAAGATTTTAGTGAAATTTTAAAAAAAGAGGAGAGCAGTATCTATTTATCCAACATCACTCAAATGCTACATTAACATAGCTTAAAAAGGCATGCCCATTTTATCAATTCAATCAATTTTTTTTAAAAAAAAATCAAACTTTTTCTCTACCAAGAAAATTTTACCCAGATATAGTGTCCAGCATAATTTAACAATGACCCTTCAATACAAATTAACTTACTGTAACTATTTATAAATCATTGAAGTCTTTGTAACTGTAGTTCAGAACAGCTCTATCAAGTCCTAAAGAAAGGCACAATGTGACCAGATCTTCTGAGGCAGTACTTAAAACAGGTAACAATTTAGATACTACTAAGCTGACAAAAGCCAAGCCTTTCATGCTTTCCAGTTTACAGAGTCTCTTTCTGAGGTCCCTGACAGCAGCAGAACAGATCACACACAGAGAACAGCTCAGGCCTAAAGAGATTTCTTGTGTCCTGGAGCAGGGAGAACTTAGATCAATCCTATCTGCCATAACTTGAATCCTGTGGCCATCTCCCAAGTGAAGACATTACACTAGGGATTATTACAGCTATGCATGAAAACTCAGAGCAAGAAAGAGCAGTGCCTGAAGCAACAGCACTAGTCTTTCTATGAAACTCTGTATGATTCTATCATGAAGCAAATTTCAAAAATTAGCCATTTAAGACACTGTAAAGAAGCATCAAACAGCCTGCAAAAAATCCTGTTTTTAATAAAGGACATTAAAAACATTCACACATCAGTATCAGGGAAACAACAGCTATTTTTAAAGAACCCCAGGTTATGATTTGTCACCAAGTAATATGGCTGCATTGGTTACTGCCTGTATTGTTAGAAGATCTTAACAATGCAACTATAACTACAGATCTGAAAGCAAGCTGATTAAATCCTGTGAAGTACATTTGTGACAGAGCACAAAATAGTTGAGGTTGGAAGGCATGACTGGAGGTAATCTAATTCAAATCCTTGCTCAAGCAGGGTCACCAGTTGCCCAGGACCATACATCCAGATGGCTTTTGGATATCTTTAAGGATGGGGACTCTATTAACTCTCCGGCCAACCTGTGCCCATGCTCAGTCACCCTCACAGGCATCCTATGCCATTATCATTGCTCTTAACTACTGTCCTCCTCTTAAAACAAAAACAACACTCAACTGCACTAAACACGTTTTTTAAAAAGACTACATTAAATCTAACATGTCTGTCCCCCAAAAAAATCCTACAACAGAGTCATACCAACTTATAAAAAATGAAGGCAGTATAGCCACAGGACATGTACTCTGATCATACTACACCACTGCCAGCTTAAGGCACCCCAGGTTATATTCCAGGTTGTGAAAAGAGATTCACTTGCTCCACTGAGATGTCCAAAATCCAAACAGGTAAACTAAAGCAGTTGGGGGTGAGGGGAAGGGAGAAAATAAATGCCAAATTTACAATGTTGAAACCTCAAGTCAACAGGCCTTTAGCCTATTTGTATCTGTATCTATCATATTCTATTGTTTTGCCCTCAAGTTTCTACTCTACTATCAGGGGAAGGAGGGAACTATAAATGAGACATTTACAATCCAAGTCCCTTTTTTCACTAAGCATTTCTTCTCATGAGAAACTAACTCAAGGCTTCAGGGAAAGGGCTAAACCAAACAATTAGAAGACTTTTCTTACCAATTATCATATAAAAACACAGGTTGATATCAATTGCTAGTTTCTAAGACTAGCCTAGCCTGAAAAGATGAGCTTGAAGTGCTGGGGTTAAACCCCCAGCCCTGAATGAGAGTTGGCATATGGATGATGCCCACAGCCAGGATCTTCCTGACTGATTTTTCACCCAGGGTCTGGCCAGCCTTCGGTGGGAACTGATTAGGAGACCACCACCAGCTGCCCCCACCTTCCACACTAACTTGGAGGCGGGGCAAGAGGCCACCTCTATAAAAGCTGACTCTGCTTGTGGTGGGGTTGGGAGGCTTGGCTACATAGTGTGTGTGCTGTGTGGGGATTCTGGTTATGGGAAGGGCTCCCCAGCTCTTCATAGCAAGCGGATCTCCCAGGATGCTGGGACAAGATGATGAGTCTCTCTCTGGGGAACTACTGTATAACCAGACTCCTCATCGTTCTGGTTCCATCTACCATGGCATGGTTCTGGAGTCAGCTTGCTCCCTTCTTCACACAATGTGCTGTGGGTGAGTGCATGAACTTATTCCTTCCTCCAGTGGTTTTGCCTTGGATCTCTGGCATGTGATTTAAGAGCAGGGGGAGGACTTTGGCTGTTGATCTGCCCGTTAAAGATAGTATTCTTCCTAGTTGGGCAAAGGGTCAGTAGGAGAGAGCCTAGTTTATATAGCAGATAGTTGTGCAGTTCAACTTGACCTATGTTTCAAGTGTGTCCTGGTGTGTAACAAAGCAGCACCATAAAGACAGTATGTATCTGGTTAAGCCTAGTTATAAAGCGCAAGTTTAGAATATACACATATATAAAAAAAAGTCAAAAATCAAATTAGAAATTAGGTTCTGAAATCTACCAGAGTTTATAATCAAATGTAAAGTCTGATTTGAACAACCACTGAAAACTTTTGTTGTAGAAACACACCTTTGAAGTGCTGCTAGTTATCACATTTTTGCAGGTTTGCAGGGATAGAAAAGTTCAAAAGATAAAAAAAAAAAAACAACAGTTCAACTATAGTTTACTAGGATATCAATTCTTAGAACTTATATTTTAATCATCAGTATCTAATTAAGAAGTTAAAATTTGAAAGTCTAACACTGCCTTCTCACAAGCTTGCCATAAGAAATTAGATGGCTACTTGTAGACTTAAGGCTTTGTGTCAAAGCTAAGATCCAAAGCCTTTAACACGCATCTGCAGTCTGCATTTGCTCTGTTACAGAACTATTTTAAAGTACTCTAGAAAAGGTTAAAAACATTATTGAAACTCTTTTTAAAACCTTATTTTTGCAAACTACTAAAGAATCATGATACCTTGTACGTGTGTCTGAAAATAAACAGCCATTTGATAAGTAAAGCAAAAGGCCAGTTTGCAAAGTCCAGTATGTTGAAAGCTTTCAGGAACAAATGCCATGAACCCAATTTATACCAGTGATCTCTTCCCCATTTTGTATCTGGGCTTACACTACAGTTATCAAAGCCTTCCAGGGACACCCTTGAGAGACTATAACCTTTGACCTGTGGAAGAGGACCCCTAGTTTGTCTGTGCCCTCCTAGCAAGGAAGCCCAAAGCTAGTCCAAGCCATAAAATCTTCTTTCTCTACACCTTTTCACTTTTTCAAAACAAACTACAAGCTATTAATTTCCCAGATCAGGACAACTCCCTTTGGTAGTGCTGTGCAGCTTCAGATACCCATATTCAAAAACTTTCCCATGTACTCAAAAACCCTTCAACACAGAATCACTGAAGGATTTAGGCTGGAAGGGACTTTGTGGAGACCACTTGGGCAAACTCCACTTGTTCAGGGTCTTGTTTAGACAAATTTTGAATACATCCAAGGCTGGAGATTCCACAAACTGCCTTCCTACCTGATCACTCTTTGTGATTATTCCCTCCCTCCACACCCCAACTGGAATTTCCCTTGCTGTGATTTTTAACTATTGCCTCTTGTCCTTGTTCTGTGCACCCTTAAGAAGAGCCCAGATCTATTTCTCTGTAACCACCTATTAGGTAGTTCAAAATAGCCTTTAAGAATCCTTCTTATCCCTCTCCTTTCAAGCTAAATAAACTCCATCCCCTTAGTCCCGCTAATCACCTTGTCACTCCTCCCTCCACTAGATTCTCCAATCTGTCTGTCTTCTTTTCACATTGAGGGTCCCAAAACTAGGCATAGTGCTTTGCACGTTCTATTAAGTGACAGACAAGAGGGGAATAACAGCATTGTCCACCTGCAGACTACACTGTAATGAAGCTCAACCTGTTTTGACCTTCATCATACACCAAGTGCCCAGTTCCATTCCATTTGTTGTCCATTAGGACAACAAGCTGTTTCCTGTAGGGTTGCTTTCTAGCTAGACAGACTTTCCTCAGCTCTGCTAAAATGAGATTATTGGGTTCCAGAATGTTAGAAATACAGTTGCTGAGTTTTGGTTTTGTTTTTCAAATTGCTGAGGAAGAACCACAAATTGGTACGGTATCAATCAAATTCCAAAGTTTACATTTTTAGTGGTAACTATATGACTCAAAACTCTCATCACAAGAAAACAGTCTTGGCAGAAGGGACAACACTCCAAAAAGAATGGCACCTTCTCAAGGGGCAGAGTGAGATGTATTACAAAAATGCCAAATTTCATTTGAGGATAGCAGGGTACAGGTAAAACAGAATATAAAGACAGCTGAAGGTTCATTTTTAAACCACACTTTGGTTATGCCAATAGAATAAAAATAATTCCCATTTTCTCATAATTTTAAGAAATACTGTAGCACAAATACAGGATATTTATCTGGAAAAAAAATGCTAAAAACACTGAAAGCAGTAAAAGCTAAAGATGATGCTTAATCCAAATCCCACCGCAGTATCACTTGATCAAAGTTTAAACAAAGGGAATTTAAATATTGGCAATGAATCTCTGCTGTGTCTAAAATAGTTCATATTCTCTTCCTCAGAGTTTGTTTCATTTTAAGAGCATAGAATTGAAAATAAACCTGAAAAAACATTGTCTGCATGTTCTGCCTTAAGCCTCTCCCATCATCTCTGCGACTCCCAAACTAACTTATTCTAGTTAAGGGCCTCCAGTTTTCTTGCACAGCCATGTGGCAACAGCTTTGCTACAGATGGTGGATAATTTAGTCACATAAAAAAAGTTGAGGCCTGCTCTTCCCCCTTCTTTACCGATAACTCTGGCAGCAGCACAGAGATTTCTCGAGGCCTGGAAGCTATTAAGGTTCATTTCAAGCACCCTTGAATGACCAGGCTTCTTTCTGGCCTTCAATCAAGCTGTCTGAGAAACAGATGTTTAGATTGGTCTTGAGTTCTCAGAAACTGACCCTGGAACATAGCACATGCACACGGGAGAGGATGACGCCACATCAGCATACATGAAAAAATCCCTCATCTTGCACCCACTTTGGGTCTTCAGCTAACAGTCATCATGCAAAAAATGTCATCTCTCAACTGAAGTAATGTTGACTCCATGTGCTCTCATTCCCCACAGTGTAGAACCACTGGTAGAAACAATCTAACAGCTAACGTACATATTCTGCAAAAATTGAAACTTCACAAAAAAAACACTGAGAAAAATGCCAGGATGTGTACGCCCAAATATTTAGCCAATAACAAGCAAAATAAATTTCAATAAATCTGGAAAGCCAATAGACCTCTACTCCACGGAGTCACAGTGAGCTCAACATTAAATGCTTTGTGCTTGTGCATATGAACCACAGAACAGTTGCAGCTTTTTTCTTTTTTTAAAGCAGTTAGAGAGTTGAAAGCCAAATAAAGTTATCTGCTCTTATTTTCATCATCTGCCTGAAAATGAAAAGAAGTTCCTGACCTCGAAATAATAGTTTTAAAGAAGATAGGATAGATTACTATCCAGCCAGTGCCAATGGCCAACCTAACCGTTCTAGGAACTAATAACACTATTAAGGCCAATTCAGTGCTAAGAACAACGTGGTGCAACATTTGCCAAGTATGATTAATTTAGTACTTCTATAGATTTTTCTAGAACTAATTATGTTAAAGAGAGCTGGATACCTCACTGATACACAGGGCTTAAATCACACCTTTATCCCGTAAAGCAGTTTGGATGTATGCTGTCATTTTTACACTTCTGTTTTACATTTAGAAATTTAATTGTAGTTTCTAAGAGAAAAGAGGGAAAGGGGAGGAAGGCACACCCTCTAGTGCTCTGGAATATATGCTGAACTTTAATGCTGAAGTAGATAATTAACACAGACAGGGGTTTTGAGCAGGCTGCAGCATGCTTACGACGTTTCACTGACCTGTTGAAGACGCTCGGAGTTGGACTGTGGTCTCGGTCCCTCTCCCTGTCCCTGGTACGCTCCCGGTCCCGCTCCCGGTCCCGCTCGCGGTCCCGCTCCCGATCTCGGGATCGCTCTCTCTCACGCTCCCTATCCTTCTCCCTCCGTGCATAGTAATCCCACTGTTTGCTGGTGTCCATAAGGCTAGACCATGAAGGAGCAGAACCTGCAAGGTGTGGAAAGGTGACTAAAGAAAAAGATGTGCGAGTTAGAAAGAACAAAATCGGATACCACAGGAAAAGCGTACTACTACTTAGGCCTGAAAACACAGGCGTTTGTCAGCCTCCTCCAATGACACTTTTCAATCTTCCCCTTTCACAAAAGCTAGTGCTAAGCAAACGCTGCATTTTTTCTGTGATGCTAATAAAGATCTCTAGCAGCCATTTAAATACTCATTATGAAGATGTGCAGAAATGGGATACATGCCATGAAGACTGTCTAAATCTTCGGGGGGGGGGG